GAATCCCATGTGTATAATGTTAGCCAAATAGCAGAGTACAAGCCAAGTTCCATATTTTATTGACTGTTAAGCCATAGAGAACAGTGTAATGTATAGTCAAATGTAGAACTGAATGTTCTCTTTAAACCAGCCAGGTGTGACAAACATTTCCTCCTCTGATCTGAGGTGATTTAGGAACTTCACTCAGCACAGTTGTATTAGATTTCATTCAGGGTTTTGTTCATTACAATAACTAAATCTAGAACTGGGATCTAGTAATGGAGAACCATTTGTGCCAAGGTTTCTTTTAAAGAGACTTTAATGGCAGAAATGCAAATTAAGTAAAACCAAATGCATATCAGTGTACACAAAGTGTGAAATATTTGTTCAGCGTATATGCTGATAATTTCAACGCAACCATCTGTTGATTTTCTTTTCAGGGTCTGACTCTTTTATATTCATTTATTAAAAAAATATAAATTTACAAAAATGTATATGGTTGTTCAAGTCAAACCTTACAAAGATAAAAGCCCAATATAAACACAATAAAAAAACCTCATTCTCCTCCTCCCAGTGACAACAATCAAATAAGCCACTTGATGGTCACCATCCCACTCTGGGGTCCCCAGGCCTATTGGCAAAAGCAGGTCTTCAGGGCCTTGCAAAAGTGTATCAAAGTGGAAGCCAGTCTTCTCTATGTGGGGATGATGTTCTGCAGGAATGGAGCCACCATGGAGAAGGGCCTTCTGCTTGATCTGACTAGGTGGATCTCCTTAGGAGAAGGGACCCATAGCATTCCCCGCCTCCCCACTCTAGTGAGTCAGGTAGATGTGACTGGAAAAAGAAGGTCCTTCAAATAACTTGGTTCCAAGCATGTTAGGTCTTTGAAGATGACAATCCATATCTTCAGTTAGATCCAAAAGCAAATCAGCAGCCAATGCAGATCCCATAGGAAAGATAAGACATGTGCACATCTAGCCCTGCACAAAACCATGTGGACCACTGCATTTTTAACCAATTGAAGTTTCTGGATATGTTTCGGGGGCAGCCACATATACAGCACATTGCAGTAGTCAAGAAAGGAGAAGACTAGGACTTGAGTGAATGCGAGCAGGAATTGTGGGTCCAGGAAAGGGCACAACTGGCACAACCCACAGTTGCGCAAAGGTCTTCCTGGTTACAACTGTCACCATATGTCTATACATTTCCATACATATCTCCATACATCCGTACATTTGTGTGTCTGTTTTCAAACACACCTGCCAAGGTTCAAAATCATTTCTGTCTGTCAGCCATTTAGGTTTTTTTTTCTACATATAACAACAGGGGTGATTTAATGTCTATATCTCAACTTCTTTTCCTTTCTAATGTGCTGAGTTGTGGAATGCTGTTTTTTTCAAAATAGATTGCCGCTGAAGAGTTTTGAGATTTCAAACAAAGTGCACAATTAATTTGTGGAATTTGCTTCAACAAAATGGAATATTAACATAGGCCATTTTCAGAGATTCCAGGTGCATTTTAGACACTCCAGAGACAAGAACAAATTAATATTTATGGAGTGTGTAGAAGCCATAGCCTATTGGAACGATTGTACTCATAATGTTATTTAGTATTAACTGTTCAGAGCAGCATATCTGATTGTTTTAAACTAAAGAGATGCAGCCATGAAATACCTAGATAAGATTTGGAGCTAAACAAGCTGTTGTTTCAAGCTACTATTACATTATATATTTATCTTTTTATATTAATTAATGTGTACTCTTTTTGCTGAAAATCATATAGTATGAAAAAGATATCCACTTGCAAAGTAAATAATAAGAACATTTAGGAAATAACTGTTAAATATAATGAACATTACTTTATTATAGTGAACAATTGCAGAATGCAAAAAGTATTGATTTTTTTCCACTTTTCAAATAATTAATCATGCTTTGAAAGAACTTGGCCAAAGATGCACTTGGAATGAAGTGCATGTCTGTGAGATTTAGACATGTTGGCAAGTCCGTGAGATTTAGAGATTTTCATTTTTTAAAAAAATTCTATTTCCTACAAAAACATAACTCTTAATCCCCCAGATTTTTTCCCTCTTCAATAATAGAAGATATTGCTTGAAACAGAATCTCCTTCACAGGGGGAATCTATTAAAATCTATTATGATTGGGGATGAAAAGGATAAAAAACTTCAAGTTAAAATTACAACTTTTGAGAGAAAATAAACATTGCCAAGTATGTAGGTATAGTCGCTTGGTTTCTAAAGAAGACTTGAGGTTTAACAGGTATAATAAATAACTGGTTTAATAATAACTATTAGCGCTGTTGCATGCTGATTGGGTTTCGTGTGTTTGTATACATGTGTGTGTTTGTATACATGTGTGCGTATAAAATAATATTTCAATGAACAGGCGAGTTACACAGTACCAGTGGGCATCAGACATTTAATTGTATCCAGACTTCTTGTCAGTAACTCAGATCTGGATAAGATCGCTTTGAGTTATTTGTTTAACCTATTTTACGTTCCAAAGTATTGAGAGAGAGTGAGAGTGGGAGAGAGAGAAATAGAGAGGAAACTAAACCCTATGTGGATTTGAAGAAACAAAAAAATCTGAAAATCTTGATTTGAGAATGTTCAGAAACAAAAATTACTTCTTCTAAATATCATAACAAGAATTGTTTTTCCAATGTGGATATGTTCAAAGAGATTTTTAAAGGAACAAAAACCCCAGGAGAAAATTACCCTTTTTCCTTCTCCTTTTCTAAAAAAAAATAGCACATATATACTGATAAAGACTAAAAATTGGGTATGTAATCACGCATGTCAAAGAAAATCCAATAAGTGCAAACTTGTAGCATGACTATATCCAGTGATGATAAGAACTGAGCAGCCCAAATACTATCTTTATGAGTCCAGGAAATTTTATTAAGATAAGTATATGAATGCATAATATAGAAAAACAGAAGGAAAGGAGGAAAAATATTCTTGATTAAGAATCAGCTAATTGTAAGGATCTCCTCCTGGAGCCTGTCAGTCAACTCTCCTTCAGCACACTCCATCCTGCTGGACAGATAGAAACAATTGGACAGAGACAGTCCCATAAGTAAGTTGGTCCCAAGCCATGAAGGACTTTAAAGGTAGTTCTTGGCTTTGAGTTTGCCTTAAATTGTGCCTTGAATTGCACCTGGAAGCATACCAGAAAACAATGCAGCTCATGGTGCAATAATGTCACATAAGCAGAATAATCAGTGAAGTTAACTGCCCATGCCACCACCTTCTGCACCAGCTGAAGCTTCTGAGTGATCTTCAAGGAGAGTCCTATGTAGAACGCATTGCAGTAGTCCAATCTGAAGGTCTTAAGGGCATGGATGATCATAATAGGGGCCCCTGATCCTAGAATCGTCTATGTTATAAATCAATATATAAGGAACATCCATGGTGTGTTTTCTGGGACATGAATGTTTATGTACTTTGGCGTACAGATAATACCGTATTATGATCTGAGAACATATAGATTGTTTAATGTAACAGCAGCCTGAATCTGAAAATTAATGTATCAAAGACCCAGTACCATAATTTTCTCAACCTATGACTACAACTGGGGCTGGAATTTTGGTCATAAGTCACTACATTTGTTATGTATATGAACAGACCTAATATTTCCCACCATTTTATGGCAGTTGTTAGGCAAATGACAGAGTCATAAGTCCAAATCATGTGGTTGTTAAGTTAATCACATGGTCATCGAGCAAATTCATTCACCCATGTGGGTGTATTTTGTCAGTAACTGCAAAAAAATGGCAAAAACAACCCCAACATTGCAATTCACAATCATGAGACCATGCAATGCTGCAATCAGACATAAATGCATCCTGGTTGCCAAGCACCTGAAATCTGGTCATGTAACCAATGGAGGGCACACACAAGATTTTATGATGTCCAAAAGTGCTTTACAGGCTGCAAAGCGCCCTTTCCGAGACCGTTATAATTTTGAAAGGTCGTTAAGCGACCAATTGTAAGTCAAGGAATACTGTAGCCACTATATACTTGACAGGGAAAATGGCATGGATAATTGCAATTCCCTCTTGGCTGTTTAGTATATTTATGATGAAATGTGTAAGGAGTTCATGTAGTAACAGTAGAGATACAGTATATTGGTTGGAAACATAAAAAATATGTGTATTTGGCAATAATATCAAAGTATTTTGCTGAGAAACAGAGCGAGGGCAAATGTTATATTGATTGTGAGCTGCAACAAGGAGTATAAAACTAGAGCAAATGAATGAATTTATGTATTTTGGATAGATGATTACTTAAGATGGAAAAACTGAAAATGTTTAGGGTGTGCAAATTCAGATAGAAAGATGGTGTGCAATGTTTTGACAGGAATGAATATTTGATAAAAGCATTTTAAATTATTGTATATAAGAACATATTTCTGCCTACTTTGTTATACATTTGGAGCAACAAAATAAGTGAAGAGACATCCCAGCTCAGCTCCCATATAATCTGTAGTTTGAACTAAACTACCACTGATTACTGTGACATCTCTAGCTTTTACATGAGATCCCTCCCTCCTCTTTTTCATATCCCTCCAGCTGTTTTCACCTCTGCTTTCACTTTTCCGGTTATATTGCAAACCCTCAGACAGGTTAAAAAAAAAAAGTCCTTTCTTTTTATAAAAGGCAGAACAGCTTCACCAAGGCAATGGCAATAACATCATCAGCAGGGCAAACCATGCCTTTGCCCCTTATGCATATAAAGCATAAGTGGAAATATAATTCTTTATATATCAAGCAGAATCTGTACCTAAAGCTGTAGAAGGAGAAAAGAGGTCAGATTTTAATCAGTCTACTTCGTATTAAAAAATACAACTCCATATCTGGACATAGGATAAGCAAGTCTTTAGAATAAGCGACTGCTCTTTCCCCTGAAATAACCATTTTGGCCACAGTTCATCTGAATTGAGTCCCTAGGCTATTTTGCCTCCATTCCCAAACCATTAGTCCATTCTTTGTTTATACTGCAGGTCCCAAAGTTTAGTAGTGCATGCTGGTCATATGAAGAATATCCATGCAGACAGCAAAGGCGAAGGGGAGAATGGAGATGTTACAGCCAGCATCTCTTTCACTGATCTGTATTTGAGCCAAGAAACCGACAAATTGCCTTCCAGTGCAGGCTCTGAAGAGTCCCAGCTGGAACAATCCTCATTTTCACGCCCAAGTATCAAATGTTCAGAACCAGAGAAACTGCCAGAACCTGTTAAAGAAAACTGCCACAAAGAGAACCCAAAGACCATAAAGAATCCCATGGAGTATCAAGATAAGCTTTACTTTCACTTAAAAGAAAATCTCTGTAAAGTGAAAGCATATGTCATGGAGATGGGGAAGAAAATTCCATTCCCAGACGAGTGTCTTATAGAAGGTAAGCGATCTCAAATTTTGAAAAAAGAAAAACAAACATGGTGCATTTTTTTTAAAAAAAAAAGTACCTTAAGAGATTCATCTGAGCCATTAACCAGCCCCCTCTAAGCATCAACATTTTAAACTTGTTGAAACATGTTTTTACATATTGATCCCAGGATAATAAGTAATTTCCACACTTCAGCATCCTTAGCCTTACGGACCAATTGACATGTTACATTTGCCTGATTTCCGAGGTCTCCCATCAGTTTCTTAGAATGTTCCGAACAGAGTATTCTGAATATCTTGGGGACATCTGTGCATTAAACTAGGACTGGGCAATTAAAAAAAAAAAAGCATCTTCCCACTTTTGTCTCTTTATCCATTAAAGTTCTGTGGCAGCTTTCTGCTTCATTCAAAAATCTGCAAGACTGGTTTGATGAGACTCCATATGAGACGAAAAAAAACCATGAGTGGTCTTTAGATTAAACTTCTAAGATTGGTGCTCTCCAAGTGAACTGATCTACAACTTTCATATTTTCTAGCCATTGTGGTCACAGTGTATACCAACTGGAGATTATTTTACTTATTTACTTTCTTATTTTTCTACTTTTCCATCATGTACTACAAAGAACTGTCTTCCCCAATACTAAACTCCTGGGACATAGTTTGAACTGAGAGAGTGACTGCCCCAAATTTGCCTGGGCTTCCATGGTGGAAGATAGGATAGAAGTGGGGAAAGGGTCTAGTCTACATCTTAATCACTGCACCTTTTGAGGTCTAATATACTTGGTATTGCAACAGGTTGGAGAAGGTTTATTTTATTATTTTTATTTTATTTATCAAATTTAGACATTACCCATCTTGTTATTTAAGTAAGGCTTACAGAAACAAACATAAAACTATACAAAAAGACATAATTAAAAGAGTTTTAAAACAAAATAAGAAATAAGAACAGAGATAAAAATGTTGATTAAAAGATGGAAGGAGCACTCAGGACACCAACTATCACCAGGGTTACATGCCAAGAATAGCCTCACATAGAGGTTATGCACTGATTGGGTCCAGCCCAAGAGGAAGGAGGTGAACCAGTACAAAACTGTTTCTCCTATCCCCAATTTTTGGAACTGACCCAAAAGGATACTATGATCAATAATATCAAAAGTCACTGAGAGGTCCCATCCAGCTCCTGCCAGAGATCATACAAAATACTCTTTCCATTCCATCTGAATGTGAAACCTGACTGAAAGGGGCCCATCTGTTTCATCCAGGATTCTCTGGAGCGCTAGCACCATCACCTTCTCAACACTTTTCCTAAGAAGGGGATATAGGAGATTGAAGAAAATTATCCAGCATGGTAGGATCTAGCAATGGCTTCTTCAGGAGAGGGCACCCCATGGGCTCTTTAAAGGGAACCCCATGCCTCAAAGATAAATTAACCATAGTTAGGACTCACCACATGTAACCTCCCAGGTAGCCTTGACAGCCAGGAAGGGCATGGATCTAGTTCACAGGTGATGTCCTTTATAGTCCCAAGCACCTTGTACATTTCTTCGGGTCCAACAAGATCAAATTTAACTTGGAACACTTATGCTCACCTGCTGCATCCACCTCTCACAAAGGCTGCTCCAGCTGTTTGTCTGGCCAGTTGCCACTTGTCTGGCTGTTCACCCAGGCTCCTTCCAACCACTTAACCAGGTAGCTTGCATGGAAGAATCTGCCTGAGCGGCTTGATTAGTTGCTTCTCTGGGCAGTTCCAATCACCAGTTTGGGTCTACTTGACTGCCCACCCTTTGCTGCCTGAATGTTGTGGCCCCCTTCCCCTGCTGCTTCTTGGGAGGTTCCAGTTCCAGTGTGGGCCTGTTTGTCCATTCACAACTGCTTGCTGCTCACTAACCACTAGGCTCTGTTTTGGCTCTTCAAGGAGGCCATCAAATGCTCCAGCCTCTTGGTTGCTCTGGCCACTCAAACGGGCTCTGGCTATTCAGCTGCTGGCAACTTACCTGAAAGGCTCCAGTTGCCAATGAAGGTCTGCTTGCCTGTTGTCCACTCACCACTCACTTGCCACACAGCTGCTGTTCAGCCCTTTAAGGAGGCTGCAGCTTGCCACAGTCACACAGTCACTCTGACCATTGCCTGTCATTGCCATTCCATAAACTGGTTAGCGAACCCACAAGACTCTACAAGTCCAAAAGAACTAGGCAAGGCTGAGAGACCCCAAAGACCCCAGGTAAGAGCACTGTGAATCTGGGGAAGCCCCCACTCCCAACTCCACAGCCATTCCTAGAAACAGTGCAACACGCATCAGCTCCCATCTGCCATCTTGATATCCTGAATTGGATTAGTCTAGGAGAAGGAAAGGCTCTCTGCAACTACTTTCCAATCTGCCTCCAGCTTCTGAACAACTTTATATAAACATTTTAAATACATAAAACTGTACACCTTTGGACTTTTCAATGGATCCTTTGTTGGGAGTATATCAGCAGAAAGAAAGTGATTATTAATTACTGAATATAATACGTATAATATGTATACATATAATATATTTATTATTTCATACATATTTTCCTTGCAGTACCCTAATACGAAAATACAATGGAAGGAAAAGAATGTCTAGACCCCAAAATGATGTTTTATTATTACTGGCAGTTGAGTGTGAAACCTGCTGAGATGTAAAGAATCAGAAGACGAACCCAGTTGCTCAGAATTATTTTGTAGGTCAGGCTGTGAGTGGGATAACTGTATACTTTAATGGAGGTATATATATACATTGCATTACAGGATCTAGCCTTAATCTGGTAGCAATCTCAGATACTTTGCTTTTTCCATCCCTCCAGTACTAGATTGGCCATTCACTGGTGAGCAACTATAAGAAAAGACTGCTTGGCTAAATGGGTCAAGAGTTGGATACACCAGGGCACTGCCTGTGTTCTTATGATTCAACTCATCAGCAGCAAATGTCTCTGTTAATCCAGGATAGCAACACAGAACAAATGATCAACCTGTGCCATTATATAGTAAGCCGGTCTAGCCCAGGGCTAAAATTGCCACCACATAGAAATTCCCCAACATCACACCTAATATATTGGAATTGCAAATCATAGCTGCTTGAAAATTTTAACAATTGTAGCACTAACACTTTTGAAGAGTGTCAGTTTGGGGAAGGTTGTGCCTTTGCAGCCATGTTTTAATAGCTTTGTTAAGCAACAACAATGTGTATACATAATACTGATAGCCGCAATGGAATAATGCTAGCAGTGATGTAATATAGGATATTAAAATACAAAAACAAATAAATTACATCATGGACAAATGCAGAAAATGTAATTGGATTAATCAAAAACACCCTTCCTTGTCCCTCAATTAAAAGATTACCTCAAATGTTGACAAAAAAACACATTTTCAGCAATCCACTACTGCAAATGAGATATATATTATCTTACCAATAGAAGAGAATATTCGTAGTTCAGAGTTGAACTCTGGGATCCCTGATATTCTCTGAGCTTAGCACTGATGATGTTACCTAGTTGGGTAATGAAATGTCTGCAAGAAAACCACCAAGCTCAGAGAATACCAAGGATCTCAGATATTTTCTTTTCAGAATTATACAGGGTTTTTTTTGACATACCCCAATATAAAAATTTTTGATGCCAAAAATCTCCCGAAAAATGGAGATATGGGCCAAGAAGATATACATCCTTGACATGTAACAATGACAGTCATGTTGAAAATCCTGTCTTTCAGCTCCAAATGTCACAATGACTAAGCCCAAACTACGTGAATTAATGTTCCAGCTCCTTAATTACATTTCCAGCCATAGGTAGTCATAAACAACGCTTGCTAAATAGTGCCTAGGTTTCCCGATATATTTATACACAGTGCTTTTTTGGGGAAAAAAAGAAAAAAAAAGAAAAAAAAAGTGCTGGAACTCACACACATCATACAACCCGCCTTGCCTACCCTACAAGGTTCCATCAAAAAAAAAGGTGCCGGAACTCCGTTCTGGGCGTTCTATGACAAAAAAAAGGCCTGTTTATACAACAGTATTTTCTGTTGCATTTGTTACATTGTTAGATTAAAAGGAAGCTGTGATCACAATTTTCGTCACTGCACTGGAAGAACAGGACATCTAAGCTTGTTATTCTAAAAGTTATAAGTAATTAATACTGGCTTAATCTATCCTTCAGCTTTATAAAAACAAGATCCTGCTTTCAGAATCTCAGTACATTCTTCCAAGATCTTTAACGAACGTGGATCAGAATGTCCAAATAAACTTTCAAGAAAAGCTTTAAGGTGACTCAACCTCAGTTTCAAATTCAAAACAAGTCTAAATGTTCTTAAATCAACAGAGTTAAGCTGGTCCAAGTTAATAACAGTGCTGTTACGTTTTCTGTATTCCTTTGTGACTGTGGTCATCCAGAAAACAAAGTAACATTTCGCATAAATGTTCCATGTCGCTGTATGTCCTACAGTGGCAATGTTATTTATGCCTTTGTAAAAATTAGTTTTTCCAGGAGCACAATTAGAAGGTTGGATAGTTTCCCATGGAAACAGCCACATTTTCTCACAACAGTGTTTCTTATAACATTATATACTTGTAATGCTTGCTTGCTTAGTTAGTTAGTTAGTTATATTCCTCCTTTTATTATATTTTATAAATAACTAAAGGTGGCGAACATACCTAATATTCCTTCCTCCTCCTATTTTCCCCATAACAACAACCCTGTGAGTTGGGTCTGGCCCAAAGTCACCCAGTTAGATTTCATGCCTAAGAAGGGACTAAAACTCAGGTCTCCCAGTTTCTAGCCTGGTGGCTTATCTACTAGATCAAACTGGCTCTCCATATTATCCTTCCAAGTTGAAAAATGGAGAAGAAGGCACCACAGCATGTTGGAAACGCTACTTTTATCTCACAACAAAAGAAAAAAAAAGAATAGTAGATATGTGTTTATTGGAACATGAAACAAAAATGATATTATTTCCAAATTTAATTCACTTTTTATAAATTCCCCCAAAGGAGAA